ACATAAAACTTAAAGCCCATCCTAATGCGTCCTACTTTCAATGCGGGAGCAACATGCATGCAAATTCCACAACGTCTTCATGCCTGGCCACACATGTCGGCCAACCGTTTGCTTGTCTCGACTCAATGAGCAAATGAAATTTATTTCATTATAAAATGGGCGAGAGAGAGCAGGTTGAAAGAAATCCTCTCGACTCTCGACATGATTCGCCCCTCGACTCGACCCGGCCAAACATTTGTTTTAGCAGAAAGCCGCTAGAAAATTTCATTTTGAAATATGCTTTCTGAAATAATTTCGCTCTTATGACATGGGAGAAGCCCGGATCCATTACCGGAGACCACCAAGCGAACGTTGTCGACGGCGCAAAAATTGTAATATTAATTTTGTGTATGCGACACAAGGCGGGCAGCGGCAGCATGAGGGGGAAAAGTGGATGGGGTTGGGGAGCGGAACAGAACGGAACGGCATGCCCTTGATAAACCCACAAACCGACATTGCACAAAACAATGAGCAAGGATTCATAATGGAATTTTGTTGGCAAACAAAAGTCAAGACGAAACGGAAGCAAAGAACCCAACATAAGCAAGGACCAAAAGAGGGCAGGGTCAGACTAGGAGCGTTCAGCTCTAGCAACTTTATTATTGCCCATTGGCCATTGTGTGTTTCTGTGTGTGTGTGTGTGTGAGTGAGTGAGTGAGTGTGTAAGTGTGAGTGTGTAAGTGTGAGTGTGTAAAATTTGCTACACTAAATTTGTACGAGAGCAAAAAGTGTCACCGGGGAATAAAGCTCATCAACGCTGATGGCCATGATTCAGCTCTTAACTAAAATTCAAGTTAAGCACGCAAGAAACCGAGCAAACCCAAACCGAAAAAAGGGATGAGGGATGGGAAATGACCACAGAGTCGGAGAGAGGGGAAGCCCTAGATAAACTATAAATGGACAGGGTATATTAAAAGTGCGCTGTGAATGAAGTGAAATGAAATGAAATGAAGAAATGAAAAGCGCATAGCACAAGTAAAATCTGTTGGCATTTTCCGTTTTCCGTTCGCATTCTGCAAAAGGTAATCAAAATAAATGAGCGACATTTTGCTAGCTGATGAACAGGATAGGGAAATGCGATGATGATGGGGATGGAAATGGGGAGAGTGGACGGAGGTGGGCTGGTGGTGCGACAACCAAGGAGCCTCGCCTAGTGAAATAACTCGTTTGGATTTTTGAACAATGAACGTTTAGGGGTTTTCCTAACGGCCAAATGACGGAAAAGGGACCATGCACAGGAAGCAGGAAGCGAAATGATGACAGCGATTTCCTCGTCAAATTATGACTTGTTTGTTCAGCTGTCAGATGAGTTTCTCTCGCTCTCTGTGTGTGTGTGTGCCGGTGTATCTGTGTGTGTGTGTGTGTGTGTGTGTGTAAAGAAGACCAGTAATCACCAGAAAATCTGTTGGGTGCTTTAAGCAAACAGCAGCCGTTTCAAGGGTCTGATGAAGTTCTCTTCTGCCGCATTAAGTTATAAACACAAAAGCCATCGATTAAATTTCAATATATAATATATAATATGCTCTTTAAAAAGTGTGCAAGTTATTTTCTCAGTATTTATTTTATACGTTCTACTTTTGAGTACTACAAAACGTGGACTGGCTCCTTTGGCGCTTTAGCCTGAAAAGGAATTCCGCAAAATAAGCTGAGCCACTTTCAAACTATTCTTAACGTGTCTCGGTTTATTTTGCGGAATTTCTTGTTTATGAAACAACAAAGAAGTCTTTTTAACATCTAACTAACCTTACCAGCTACATTAAAGAAATAGGGAAATATTCGTTTCTTTTTATTAATAATAATCGACGCATAAACGTATAAACACCCCGATAAACTTATTTTGTTTCTCATTTTAGTTAAGTAAGTTTAAAATCATAAAGTGTTATAGTAACGCTTAAATAGCCACCTAAAATAAGATAGATTTTTAAATTACACTCCCCAAAAGCAGGGTCAAAAGCCGCACTCTTTAAGCAAAGGTTCATAGACAGTTGCAGTTTAACCTTTAAAACTACCGTCTAGATGATGGCAGTCAAGCAGGGACACATGCTTATCAAATGCCGTAACCCGGGAGCCGACTGAACATTTTTTTTCAATTTGCTATTTTGTATGCAGCATGGCATTGCATGGTAGTCTTTGGCTACTAACTACGATTTAGCAACAGTTTTAAAGCCGCCTACCAGTTTGCCAGCGTACCGCCCATAAATTACCATTTGGCAGCTACAAGCAACGCCTATCCGGCTCCGGCTCCGGCTTCTGCGGCGGCTACGGCTTCGGCTATGGCTATGGCTATGGCTATGGCACCGCCCTTTCTGTCCATATGGCCAGCTGTGCCTTCACTTTTTGTTTTGGGGCTGGGGTGTGGGTGAGTGGGAGGTATATGACTGGCATTAGACGCGCACTTTGCCACAAGTCGTTTGCTTATCAGTTGCTCTGGTGAGCGTTGTCCCTTTTTTGGACAGCCAGCCAATTCAGCGCGAAACGGCAAACGGCTAAGTGAACTGGCATAATGACTGCCAGCCACGATGAGGATGTATATGTGGATGTGGATGTGGATGTGGACGAACTGTGCGCTGGATGCGGGTTCAGCAGTGAGAAGTCGACACGTTCTTTGGCCCCTTATCATCGTTTATTGTTTGGCTACATATTTTATTTGGAAGTTGCAGGCGCAGCAACAACTTTCGCTTGCCTTGGCTCGTTATTATCCTATTAGGATGTGACAGCAGCTCACAAACTTTTCATTCGCACGCAGACACACATACGTTGAGCAAACACACACACACATGTCGTATACATAACGCTTTTTATATACTTTCGTCTTCAGGACATTACAAGCTCGTTAAAGTGAAATCAATGTTGTTTTTGTTGCTGCTATTCATTTTGGCTTTGCCTAAGCTACTTTGTCATCCTATCTCCCTCTCTCACTCTCTCATACTCGCACTCCCTCACTCTCTCTCTCTCTCTCTCTCGCTCTATGTCTCTCTTTCATACTCAGTGTCTGTCGTCGCTTTATTTGGCTATGTGTTTTTATTTCATTATGAGGATTTGGCTGCCTTTTTGCTGTTATCTGCGGCAATTTATGTCGCACCGGAGGCAACTGACCATGAAAATTGTTAAGCCAAATGCACAATGAAATAAACTATGGAAATAATGGTCATTTGAAGCTCTTAGGAACTGCGATTGTAACGCAGCTAAGAGCTAAACTCAAATGACAACAAATGTCCGACGAAACTAAGTTATAGCAAAGCACCATTATCAGATCATAACAACTTAACACAATAGCCATAACAAAACTTGACAAAATAGTAACGAAAATTGAAAGACATTACCCACGATTAATGTATCTGATGTGTCATAATCGTTAACATTATTATTATTATTATTATTATTATTATTATTGCTAAACGAATAGCTTAATAACACAACAATTATGGCCAGCGAAATTAAATCAAATGTAATCAATCAATAATAATATTATTCATAGCTCGATCGTTAGCCATAACGATTAATAATGTGAATTAAATACTTGTAGATATTTTCACAGCTTTTATGGGATAGTTGTTGATAGTGTGATAGAACGATAACAAATAAAACTTAATTTGCTTGTTTACATTGTAACTGTTTTGTTTGCCTAAACAGTGTCTCGAAGATTTAGTAGCATTATTATTAAGATTTGTGGCGCAATTTCAGAATCACAAAACAGCCGAGATCTCTGTGTAAACAACATTAAAAAGAAAACGTAACGGCACTATTTAGAAACAATTAATTTTCATCGCTTTCATTTCTAAAGCCGCCCAAACAAAAAAGATCATCTCTATTTATAGCTAAATTGTGCAATGCGACAGCAACTGACTGATTAGTCATATTGTGTTGACCTTGGCAATTAGTCACCTGAGCGAGCATTTTTCTGCATGCCACTTGGCAAATGCCAAAAGGAACATTAAATTAAATTATGCATGTGTTCTTCATATGACTTCTGATGTATTTCTGCATTTTAACATTTTTGCATTTTAACATTTGAACATTAATCTGGCAGGGCGCGGGTGCTGTCAAGAATTTGCATTTGCATTTCACACACGCCTTGGCCTGGAAATCGTAATGGTGGCAACGATCTTTTGATAATACTTACACACATTTACATAAATATATGTACATATATATTTATATGCACACTGTTAATTGATCGATCGGTCATGGAATTGGTATGGAAATGGACTTGCACACGTGACGAGTGCGTGTGATGCACTCACCATTCACCCACCATTCACCACTCACCAAAATTCCTTAGCGGCACCATTTTTGAGTGTTGTGTGTGAAAATTTATGGCTTGCTTGACTCAAGAATTACTTGCGACGCACGTTAAGAGTTTGCCAAAAAGATCTGCTTATATACATAAATACATACATACACACGCTAACATACAGACGTGTACATTGTTAATTATGCATGCATGTAGTAATGTTTTGTTTAATCAAAGCTCTTCAAAAGCTTTCGGCCCAAAGAGAGCATACAAAATGTGCAAAAGAGTAGGAAAGCGTGTGTTGAGAGCACAGGTTGCCGGCTAGCCGGTTCGCCGGCTGACCACTTCAAATAAGAGCGAAAGGGTGGGAGTGTGTGTGTGTGTGTATCTGTGTGTGTGAGAGAGTACGACAATTTAAAGTGCTGCTAGCAAACCGGCTCACAGTGGTAGATCAGCTGACGTTTGAATGTACATCTAAACTTTAATAACTGTTTTAACTGAACTCTTTCTTATTCAAATGTATAACTCTTGATTATCTCTTGTGGAGGAGACAGACTGTTAAAATAGACAAATAGATTTTGTTGTCAAGAGAGTAGAGGATTTGTGAGCGCTAAAAGCTCGATGCGCAACCACTGTGCGCTGCTCAAAAAATTGACGATCGTCGGTCGCATCGTATGGCGTCGGCCAGCAAGCTTAAAATTGTGTGTCGCAAACTTGAACGGTTTAGTTAGCGAGTGATAGGCAAAAGGGGCACAGCACGAGACTTGTAGTACGCGTTGTGATGTGATGTGATGTGAAGTGAGAGACGGCAATGATGCTAAACGATCAGCGACACAAAAACTAAACTAAATAAATGTAACAATTCAAATCGAAAAACGTACACACATAAAAAAGAAAACGAAACAAGAAAAAACCAAAAGTAAAAAAGATATAATAAAAGTTGTAATAGTAAAGTGTAAAGTGAATAAACCAAACCGAAAAAAAACTGCACAGAGCCGAACCGAGCAGCAAAGCCAAAGCCAAAGCCAAGAAGCATGTGAATTGGAGTCGTGGGGCGCAGCCAGCGAACGACGAACGAACAACTGAATTGAACTCAACTACAAAAGAAACGATATTTATGCTCTGCATATTATTGGAGAGCTTACAAAATTTACGTGGCAGGTGTGTTGTTTTCTTGAGACTGTTTTGTTGCGCATTCCACAGATTATATGATTTGTGCACACACACAATCTACATAAGTGCATGGAGAGAGAGCGTATTTTACGATAACTAAATCATGTCACCGTCAGTGGAAGTAACTCTCTGTAAATGCACATTTTAGTGGCGATTATATAAGGCAAAAAATTTTGGGTTTTTATTTTACTTTTTTCTTCTTCAACTTTTTTTTTTTTATATTATTCTAGTGGGGCCTTGGATAGTTATAGAGAGACAACTTTGTATGCTATATAGATAAGATAGCGCATATCTAATAATATCACACGAAACGAACTCAACATTGCGTCACATTATGTGTGTGTGTGTAGTATTAAAGAAATGTTTATATTGTAGAGCTTGGGTTTCCAATTCCCAATTTGCAATTGGTCCATGCTGTCCTACTATATTTAAACATTATTCACTGCCATTTGCTAAATAATAAACAAATTATAAATAGGTAACTTAATAAATGTACAGTAAACTAGAAACTAAACAAACGCACACACAACACACACACACACACATACACACACATACACATATTCACCTATAGGCAGAGAGACAAATGATGAACGCACACAACGCCGAAAGCTTTTTTTTTTTGCTCAGCACACAAACGAGAATATGCTGCATGCCAGCGTATGCGTGTGTGTGTGTGTGTGTCTTTTTTGTAGTTTTTGTTGTTGCTTGTGTGTGTATGTGTGTGTGTGTGTGTATTTTGTTTACACAAAAATCAAGGTTAAAAGCGCAAAGCGACATGCGTAAAAGGTGGAAGCAAATAAATATATCGCTCAATAAACGAGCAATGATCGAATAATTGTGTATGTGTGTGTGTGTGTGTGTGTGTCTCTGCCAGTTGAAGCTGTATCTGAATGTATGTGTGTGTCTGTCTGTCTGTCTGTCTGTCAGTCTGTCTGTGGTGTATAGCATTAAACGAAAGTACCAAAATGAGCCATGGAAGTCTATTAAAGCGTAAAGCGCAAATCGCGTACTAGCATTGGAGTTGAGAGCGTTCATGGCTGCGAGCGAAGTAAGTCGAGCCGTGCCTGAAACCAGAGCACAAATACAAAACAAATAAAAACCGACACACAAATAGCAACAACAACAACAACAACAACAGCAGCAGCAGCAACAAGAAAGTTAAGCGCACACTCAGCGCAACAGACGAGGCTTTCATACTCTTGGCGACCCCAAACAAAAAAACAAACTCTTTTTCAAAGAGTTGCAAACTTTTTCTCCCAAAAAAATGTTAAGAAAAAACGTGAAAAAAGATATATATGCATTAAAGGTCGTCCAGTCAACTCTAACTGAGACATAAGTTGACATCAATTGGCTGTGTCAGAATTAAGTTTAAGCGCATATTTAAATGGCGATCCCCCGAGTAATCCGCTTATATTAATGTGATTAATTATATAAATTCACGATTTGCATTGCTATATCAACTGTTTCTGCCCGGAATCGCTGACGGCAACCCTTTTCATAGGTCATAAATCTCATTGACTCCGTCTCGATTATCTTCATTTTTATGTTTAACTTAAAATGCAAAGAATGCCAAAATGATCCCCTCAAAAACGATTGCAGTCGCATATATTTGTTGCAGATAATACGCGATCCTTGAAAGCTATGGGATCGTTGAAAGACAAATTGAAAGACAAATTCTGAGTTGATCATTATTATTGAATTTCTACATTTTGGTTCTTTTAATTAGAAGAGTTTGTCAAATGCACTTTTTTTTCAACCAGCTGTTAAAAGTTGTATTACAATCTGGAAACATTTGTATTAGAATAATATGAGAATAATAAAACTTTTTAATTGTGATAAATGTTTTTAGATCATCAAGATCTTTAGCACACTATTATAATAGTAAAAATGTTTTAAGGTCTTTAACCACAAATGATTACAATAGCTAAGTTTTACCTGCTTGCTTTAAGTTCACATTTTCTGTTGCTGCAAACTGACAGCAGCAGCAATTATGCCTTAAGCAAGTGTATTTAAAGACGATCGATCGGCTTGGTTGGAATAACGGACAGTGCCGTAGACCAAAGCCAAAGGCCCACAGCATAACACAGATGAGCCAACCCAACCCAGGCCAACCCAGTACACGCCAGCCCCGGCCAGAGACCGACTCCGAGTCCGAGTCAAAGCCGGGCTATGAGTTTGGCCCGGTTGCAATGCGTGAAAAAGAGATGACGAGCTTCATTTGTTGCGGTAGCCATGGCAACAAACTGAGAGCCACAACAACCTCATCTCATCCCCCCACCAACACCCTTGCCTTACTCCCGCCTAAGCCGTTCGTTCGTTCATTCGCCACTTGCCGCCCGCTCGTCCCTTTCAAGTGCGGCTGCTGTTGCTGCTGCTGCCATTGCTGGCTCATCAAAAAAGCCAAAAGTTGTTGAACGTGAAATTATTGTACGCGAACACGAGTAAATACGCCAGCGCTCACACACGCACTCACACACAAGTATTTCAGCACACACACAGTTATAAACACACACACACACACACACACACACGAAGAGCGTCAACTTCAACGCTGCTGCTGTTTTGCATGTGTAGCATCTCAAGATAAATAACAAAACAGCGAAAAAAAAAATGATTGCGGCTGCAAACCAGCAGCAACAGCAGCAGCAGCAATAACAACAACAGCAAGAAAAAAAAAAAGAGCACACAGCCAAGGCATGAAATAGATGCATCAGATTTCGCATTCAAGTGAAATTTATGGCAATCATAAAGCTCATCTTGCTTTCGAGGTAAAAACTTACAAAAAAAAAAAAACATATAAGCCAAAAAACAAAATGAAGAAAGGAAACAAAAAATTGCCAAACTCTCGACTATGAGGCGACGGAGAAGTATGACGAGGGGTGGGGCAGGGGGCCGAGACGAGAAAACGAAACGAAGTCGCGAGTACTTATCGCTGTCGGCTACAAAGCCCCATTATGCTAGCGGATGGCTCATGTTGCTGTTGTTGTTGTCGGCATTGTAATTGTTGTTGTTGTAGTTGTTGTTGTAGTTGTTGTTGTAGTTGTTGTTGTAATTGTTGTTGGTGTTGATTTTAAGCAGACAAACATAGCGCTCAAAACACAAGAGCAGCGAGGCGAGTGTAGTGGAACAAAGCTCAATCGCTATCAAAGTTTAGTCATCTACAAAAATATGTTGCGAGACCAAGAGAGATAGAGAGAGGGAGAGGGAGAGAGATAGGTAGAGGTAGGTGAGGGCAAAAGACAGATTACAGAAGAAAGAATACCTCGAGGTTACACGTATGTACACACACATACATGCATAGGAGTACTAGGTACATTGGTACACCTGGGCACAAAGAGAAATATTAGTTGGAAAGACGATGAGTAAATATGTACAATAGATAGCTGCAGATAGATATATGAACATAACTAAACGGGTATTGTGCTGCCAAGCAATTAGATAAGAAAGTTGGTAACCGAACAAACGGGAAGACAAAGATTAAAGTTGGAGTGAGAGAGAGCGTAAGAGAGAGAGAGAGAGAGCGAGAGAGAGAGAGGGAGGCGGTTATTAAAGAGAAAGCCAAAGTCTTGCATTTAATTTAACATAACTGAACTTGAATGAATTTCAAATTAAGCTGCAAGTTTTGCCAATTTATCTAAAGTTTTCCCATTCCTAGTTAAAAATTCATATATCACATAAATAGCTACACATCTTACAAAAGTGACGAATACATTTTTAATGATATCAAAAAACTTAGTTTTCTCATGAATTTCCATTATTTCTGGCAAATTGGGTTTGGGCTTATTTTATTTTTTTTGCCTAAATTCTTCAAGTGTTCCACAAATTGTTATTGAATTATGACTCCATGGGCTGTTTACAGTTTGGCATTCTTTGCAAATTGAGCTGGCTGTCATCAAATGAATCAATCATGAATCACCCCGCACAACAGCACTATCAAAACGAGGTCGAATTTAAGAATCAAAAATCAAGTCATCAATATTGTAAATATTTAGCAACGGTGCAAGCGATGCATTGAATTCAAAAAATAATAAAGAGCCTGAACACAATACACCCAACTTAGACAACACAAACAAAACCGAAAACCTTAACAAAAAAATACAAAAATACAAAAATAAAAATGAACAAAAAATGAAAGAAAAAAAAAACAAACAATTTATTTATGGTGTTCTATTGAAAACGTTCTCATTCCATTCATCGGCAGTCGGAAGTGTGCAATCGTCACTTGTTGTTGATTAATTAAAGATTCGATTAACTGCTTGATTAATAGTTGTGTTTTTTCCTTTTTTTTTATATTTTCAATGTTCACAGCTCGCTCAAAAACTTTTAAAAGGTAGCTGCGGGCTCTCAAAAATATGCTCTCGATTCTCCTCCATAAATTTGTGCGAATTGCAAACATAAATCTCGCAGTTTCAGTCACAGTCACAGGGTCTCCGTCTCAGTCTCAGTCTGTCAGTTGTAGCATTTTGATTGAATGAATGTGAACGTAAGTAGAAGAAGCTGGCTTGCGGCTTAGGTTTTTGTCCTCGGGTGTTTTGTTTTTGGGGGGGAAAAGGTGAGCGCGTTCATTAAATATGGCAAGTATAGCAAACGTAATTTGAGATGCCATGCATCCCAAAAACTGATGGCTGAAATGCCCGACTACGGTAATAACTACCTGTATATGAGCCGCATGTGTCGCATGTGGCACGTTCGTCAGAGCTTTAGTTGTTTGCCACATTTCGACGAGGCCCAAAAAGACTTTTCAGTTTTTCGGTTTTGGCTTTTGCGGCGTGTGCTCGAGATACGATTTTGAGTATCATGATGAGAGTGAAATGTGTGTCGGGTTTGTCGGGTTGCTGGGCACTGCTGATGTTTGTTGGTTTTTTTGTTTTTGTTTTTGTTGTTGTTCTTGTTGTTGTTGGTGGTGCTGTGTTGTGTTGTGTTATTTTCAGTTCAGGTTGCCTCTGGTCATTAAAAACTATTCGCACAAATCCAAAAAAGGTTGCTATTTTTAGCAGTGATACAACAGGCCTGTTCGACTGTTCGACTGTCCATCCGTCCGCCTGCCCGCCTCTGACTTAGTAACGCTTCTCTCTATGTGTGTGTGTGTGTGTGTGTGTTTACTGACTTATTTTTGCACTGCAATCAAATTAAAATATATAAAAGAAGAACGAACACTTATCAGCCCCGTGCCGCACATTAAATACTCTAGCTGACTCATTAATAGCTTTAAAAATACAATAATCAAGCTTAGTTATTTAAACGTTTTTATTATTTAATTAATTTGTATTATCTTTTAATTTTGTCAATATATTTATGTTTAAATGACAGATTTATGCGCAGTACAACATACATTAGTTGATAGTTACATAGTTGATAGGAAACTTACACAAAAAAGTCTTAGCCAGACAGAGTATAGCTATAATATATATACTATATATATGTATATATATACATAAATGTGTGTAAATGTGGTTTGCGGCTTGTGGCCATTAAAAGAGAATAAATCTTACGGCTGAAAATGTGTTTGACAATTTATTTCTATGTGTGGTTTTTTTATGTGTTGCAGATGAAACACAACGAAATTCAATTGGTTTTGATTTTGCAATAAAAAGGCGACAGCAGCGACGTTATATATATATATAAAGTTAAATCTTGCACGATTCGAGAGGCGGCTTCAAGGTCATATCGATTGCTGGACTGAAAGCCCTTGGAGTAGCAACAGCAACAGCAACAGCAGTAACAGTAGCAGTAGCAGTAGCAGCCACAAAATGTTGAACCCGCACAAGTCTACGTGCTTGCACCATATGTTAATAATGTGTCTGCTAATATTTGCCGGGAATGTGCTGAATGTCGCCAGTGCAACGGACGGTAAGTCTGCCAAATATTTGTATTCACATAATTATAAAAGTAACTGTATGTAGAGATCTGCACAAACAAAAACAAGAACAGCATTTTTAATTGCCTCACCTATTTGTTGATGATCTTATCAAATTGTATCAGTATTATCGTATAGATTATAATTGTTTGCACTATGCCAAACAACAGGTCATTGTTCAGCTCAAACAGTCCACAGACAGTCAGCCTGAAGAGGCGTTCACTCAACTGCTGATGCAATCCATACAAATCCAGCTGCAATTAAAATTCAACATCTTCTGAGCTTTAAATAGATGAAAAAGAAATCAGGCGAATTTTCTTTAACTCGCAGCAAATTGCAATTTTGTCTACCCAACTTGAACCAAAAAAAAAAAAATATTATCTGCATTTTAATCGAAAAATTTCTCTTGACTCTGCATATCATTTCATTTTCGGAATTCATTTCACTTTGTTGAATTTACAGCACACTTATTGGGAAAAACAAATAGCTCTTTCAGACAATAATTCAATTTTCGACCAATAACAATAAAAATGTGTATAAAGCCACATTTTATAACCCAAAATAAGCAACTTATGCAGAAGTATACAACAGAGAGAAGAAAGCATATCTGCACCAATAAGGTATATATATTCTATATATTTTGCTACACAAAACATATTCTCGTATTAAGATAACTAAACTCAGCTGTGCACAGGGTATCTGCTAGTCGAGCTCCCTCAACAGAAGCCTTCTAACTTGTTTATTACTATGCCTCAAGCTAATATAAAGATTTCTATGTCTTCATTAATCATTGATGCCCTCAGCCTATCAGTTTCATTGAGTCTATGCCAACAAGAGAGCTAATTCAAGTTTATCGCTGATTTGAGGCATTGGAATCCTTTTGTTGTGGCACGCCTTTTCAGACATATTCCTCTGAGCGAAGAAAAGCATATTTAGTTAAACAAATCGTATTCGCAAATGGAACAAACTAGTAACTTAAACTTTGTCGAGTCTCATTTTGTTTTCTGTTGCAAATGGTTTATCGAGTTGAAGAAGTTTGATATTGCCCCACCACTTACCATTTGCCGCAGTGACTTGCTGCAATCGGCTGGCAAGGCCTGGACTCCCTCTGTCAGGATGTGACGGGTGGCCCTGAAAATTTGTCTTTGTCGATGCGACTGACCGATGACCAATATAAGCTGACCCAAGAAAGCCACAAAGAAAATGGTGGCAGAATAATTCCATGATTCGGATTCGCCATATTTGCACAGCCACCATTTGCTGAAGGTCACAAAGTAGGTGAAAAATCCATGACTGACACAATCCATGGGGACTAGTAGGAGGAATGAGAGCATTTGAATGTCATGCAGCGAACAAAAGCAGCGACTCAACTGCATCAGTTGACTCTGCAGCTGCCACAGGCGACACAGCTCCAATGCCAGCCAATGATGCTGGGCATGATGCAGGCGGCGTCGTCGCACCAAACCGTTGTTGTCGTTGTGTTGTGCATCGCGGAGCAACTGGGACAGATGAAGATTACAGTGATGCGACAAGTGGCTAATCAACATCTGGGCGACCAGATAGAGTGCCAGGCACAATTGCACACACAGCTGACAGCCATACATGAAAACTACGCTGCCTAAGTACATGGCACTTTTACTCACATTCGAATCCCCCGCCAGTAAAAAAAACGTGTAAGAACTGGAGAAAATGATGGCCAATACTAACGCATAGATGGTTAAATGGTCCCGTGTGTGTATCTGCCGCGCTGACTTTTGCAGCCGTGTCGTGTGAAGCAGTCGAAGTAGCTGGCGACGACAACTGAGCAGTTTATTCACGCCGGCAATGAAGCAACGCTGACGTCTCGTGTGCCTGTAGAGCGTGACAAGTGCCGAGCTAAACAACAAGACACTGCGCAGCGTGCCCACAATCAACAGCAGGCGATTCTGCACCAGAAACTCCATCTGGGTGTTCGTAATGTAGAACGCATATGGCGCGAAGCAGATGCAAGAGATGAACAACAGATAGCCATACAGGCGCCAATACCAGCTGCACTCCATCCTCCACATTATCCCTATTCCCATTCGCTTTCGATTCCCCTTGCCCATCGGGACGGCGGCAGACAGACCAAAGAGATGGCCCAGCAGGTGAAGCGTTCGCAGTATGCCACACGTTAGCAGTTGTTGCAACATTGTACACACTAAGAGCTTAAGTCCAAGACTAACTTGACAACGCTGGTGGAGCTCCAGTTGTGCTGTGTCATAATTGAATCACGATTAACTGTGACTGGTGGAAAGCACCTGGCTATTAGTCTGATTGAATTCTATTCTATTTATAAACAAGGCGTTCCGCTCGCCGAGACGACTGTGTCTGATAAGACGACCCACAACAAAAGGATTCCAATGCCTCAAATCAGCGATAAACTTGAATTAGCTCTCTTGTTGGCAAATCACTTGTGAGCAAGGAATGAGAATCAAGGATTAATGAAGTCATAGAAATCTTGAAATTAGCCTAAGTCATTGGAAACAGGAGGAAAGGGCGTAACCGACAACGCATTACTCTGGTACCATAAGGAATACCATCTGATAACAGGTGCCACAGAGCATGGCGGGTGTAGACAAGAAATGTCGATCTTTGAAAGAGATTTTTGGTAATCTACGGTCCAAGTTTGCCTTTAAAATTGTGGTAGATATAGACTTTTGTGAATTTTGGGAGCTGGAGTGAACTTGGCTGACAGAAAAAAAGTTCGAAGGGTTTCGTAGTAACCTTCGTTCCAAGTTTGGTAACTGTAGCTCGTAAATTACCGGAGATATGGGCTTTTATGAATTTTTGGGGATGGTAAAGGTAGTGGCTGAAAAAAATTATTAGCGAAGGTTCCTAGTAAGCTAGCTTCCAAGTTACTGTAGCTCTTAAATTGCGGAAGATAAAGGCTTTTATCGCTTTTAGGGACGGGAGTGGCCGTGGTCCAAAGTTTCCGGATTTTTGTATTACTAGCAACATGCCTTTCAAATTTGGTAACTTTATCGTTCAAATTGTGTGATATACTCGTATATTGTTGAATCGATTTACATTTATGGGTATCTCAGTTTGGGGAGGCGGATTGGGCGTAGCCCTTTTATTTTTTCGGTTTCTTAGGGGAGGTACTTTCAAAATTTGGTGATTCTAGCTTACAAATATGATAGCTTCGGTATCACAGTATAAAAACATTTTACGCCGCAACACCACAGTCGAGAGAGATCGACTAGCAGATACTCTGAAACAAACTGAGAGTAGATTCTTCAATATGAAATTACATTTTTGTTAACAATGAAATTTTTACGGTTGCACTTGGTCGAGTCTCATTCTTTTTTGTGTTACAAGTGGTTTATCGAGTTAGAGAAGTTTAATAATGTCCACCAGCACTTACCATTTGCTGCAGTGACTTGCTGCAATCGGCTGGCAAGTCCTGGACTCCCACTTTCAGTATTTGACGGGTGGCCCTGAAAATTTGTCTTTGTCGATGCGACTGACCGATGACCAATATAAGCTGGCCCAAGAAAGCCACAAAGAAAATCATGGCATAATAATTCCATGATTCGGATTCGCCGTATTTGCACAGCCACCATTTGCTGAAGGTCACAAAGTAGGTGAAAAATCCATGAGTGACACAATTCATAGTCACTAATAGGAGGAATGAGAGCATTTGAATGTCATGCAGCGAACAAAAGCAGCGACTCAATTGCATCAGTTGACTCTGCAGCTGCCACAGGCGACACAGCTCCAATGCCAGCCAATGATGCTGGGCATGATGCAGGCGGCGTCGTCGCACCAAACCGTTGTTGTCGTTGTGTTGTGCATCGCGGAGCAACTGGGACAGATGAAGATTACAGTGATGCGACAAGTGGCTAATCAACATCTGGGCGACCAGATAGAGTGCCAGGCACAATTGCACACACAGCTGACAGCCATACATGAAAAGTACGCTGCCAAGGTACATGACACTCTTCCTCACATTCCGTTCTTCCTTCAGGATGGAATATGTGTGGGAGCTGGAGAAAATGATGGCCAATACTAACGCATAGATGGTTAAATGGTCACGTGTGTGTATCTGCCGCGCTGACTTTTGCAGCCGTGTCGTGTGAAGCAGTCGAAGTAGCTGGCGACGACAACTGAGCAGTTTATTCACGCCGGCAATGAAGCAACGCTGACGTCTCGTGTGCCTGTAGAGCGTGACAAGTGCCGAGCTAAACAACAAGACACTGCGCAGCGTGCCCACAATCAACAGCAGGCGATTCTGCACCAGAAACTCCATCTGGGTGTTCGTAATGTAGAACGCATATGGCGCGAAGCAGATGCAAGAGATGAACAACAGATAGCCATACAGGCGCCAATACCAGCTGCACTCCATCCTCCACATTATCCCTATTCCCATTCGCTTTCGATTCCCCTTGCCCATCGGGACGGCGGCAGACAGACCAAAGAGATGGCCCAGCAGGTGAAGCGTTCGCAGTATGCCACACGTTAGCAGTTGTTGCAACATTGTACACACTAAGAGCTTAAGTCCAAGACTAACTTGACAACGCTGCTGGAGCTGCAGCTGGAGGTGGAGCTGGAGCTCCAGTTGTGCTATGTCATAATTGAATCACGATTAACTCTGACTGGTGGAAAGCACCTGGCTATTAGTCTGATTGAATTCTATTCCATTTATAAACAAGGCGTTCCGCTCACCCAGACGACTGTGTCTGATAAGACGACCCACAACAAAAGGATTCCAATGCCTCAAATCAGCGATAAACTTGGATTAGCTCTCTTGTTGGCAAATCACTTGTCAACAAGGAATGAGAATCAAGGATTAATGAAGTCATAGAAATCTTGAAATTAGCGTAAGGCGGAGAATTTAGAAAGAATAGTTTCATCAACACGAAGTGTTGATTATTCGACCTTAATGAAATTTTTACTTTTGTTCAAAAAGATATGTATATGTATTATATATCAATTAGGAGGCTATATTTTAAATATTGTGCCTCTGATGGCTACCTATTTATATCGCCAAACAGATGAAGTTATCGATAAAATGCAAAGAGCTTGATTCATCTATGATACTGGAAAGCCTCTGTTAAAAAACTTTAAGTCTCCAGCTTTTATAAGCTCAGAGATGTTTACAATTAATCAATTAAAAGTCTGGGTATCAATTGGATGGATATATTCTTAGGAGTGTGTATCTGAAACTTGATCTGTGTGGAGTATAGAAGTCTCTAGCTCTTATAATCTCTGAGTTCGACTTATTCATACAGACGGACAGATGGACAGATAGACATGGGTGAATAGACTCGGCTGCTGATGCTGATCAATAATGCTTTCTCCTGCCTGTTGCATACTTTTGCACAATTTTATTATGCCCCTTTCCCATTTTTAATAAATAAATAAAGACCCCATTGTAATCTGTCTTTGGAATGCTTAAAATCTCTTAAATCTCAAGCATAATAAATTAAATAAAGTAATTAGCACTTGAGTTCATTGAGACTTAAGTTAAAAACTTTTTAGAAAGTTGCAAAGTGAATGCCTACTTGCAACAGTATAATAAGTTGGAATGCTTGTAACAAAGTAGTTTGTCAGTTGTCAATTTGTCAGCAAAAACTTGTTCAATACTCTTGACTAAATATGATTTCATTGAGCCAATTTTTATAATGAATTGTTATCCTCTGGTACTTAAGTTAAGTTGCTCATAATGATTCAAATTTGTTAGCTTGATAAATCCTTTGCTGATTAGATGCCAATGATGAAATTCTGACATTAAGCTGGCTTTGTTTTGAGCTGTGTCTGCAATGAGACGTGTTCCTCAAATTGTGTTTCCAATCAGTGTCAAGAGATAACTAACAATTTGAAGTAGGAATAATCTGACTTTTGTGGATGCATACACACACACACACACACACACACATAAACACACACACATACACACACACACACACACACATCTATACACACACTCAACTAAACATTGTCGTCCCCTCAGAGCTGAGACCTCAGACCTCGGTGGCGTTGTCGTTGTATTATTAAAAAAGTTTTGACGCTTTAAAGAGTTTTCTTTCCCCCCGCGCTCTTTATTTCCATGCAACATAAAATGCAAAACACTCGAGTTCTATATGTACTTTAGCCTTTATGGCAAACTTTCGACGCTGTTTATAAGTTCCACTGAGTAAAAAAAAATAAAATAAAACACAAAAGAACGAAAAAAAATGAATTTGTTCATGTAGCTGCAACTTTTTGTATGCTTTGTCCTGTTATTGCCCCTCTTTTTCTTCGCTCTCTCTTCCTGTCCCTCTCTCCCTCTCGCTCTCTCTCTCTCTCTCTCTCTCTCTCTCTCTCTCTCCCTCTCTCTCTCTCTCTGCCCACTTGTATATTGGCTGTAGGCAGTCGAGTGTGCGGTTTTTTTTCTAGGTTATATGACTCTGGCTTCCACTCCTGTCTCGATATGGTCCTTCCTGGTCCTTTTTTGTAGCATGACTTGCTCCTGCCCAGTTTTCCGACTGACTGACTATCTGACTGTCTGACTGGCTGAACTGGCTACTCCGACAGTTGCTTGGCTTTGCAGTCTCCCATTCGGATAGTTAATTCAAATTTTACGCTTTTTCGCTTAGCAGCGGCATTCAAATCGTTTTCGTGATTTTGCTTTATATACCCTGTTAGCATCACAATGCTTAAGAAAGGGTTTTTTTAAATCAACTCAAGCATGCAAGCATAGTATCTACACAGTATTTATGAATTGGCTTCAAAAGCAACTTTGATTAAGCCATGTTCATTCCATAGAAAAGCAGAATTGCTTACAGCAATTGATGGACAATTTCAATATTCGACAGTCAATTTTAAATGCCAAGTTCTTTATAAATATATTAATTGCTTTTTTTGTGGCCTGCCCCAATCCTTGCAATATATTTTCGACATTTTTATATTCTAATTCAGCTAAAATTATTATTATTATATGTCTAATTTTAACATTTTTATTTCTTACACATTGGGTACTGTCTTAAGGCTACTTTAACTACAAAAAAAAAGTAAATAAATAAACAACGCTTTACTGTCGAAGATTTATAGCCTGTTAAAATTGACATAGGTAAAAAAAAAAGGTCGTTATAAAAATAAGCATAAAATCACGAAGCGATAAATTGGCCAGACTTTAAGAGCTATGCTATTTAGGCACTTGAATACCTAACAATCTCTTCTCTTCTCAAAAATTGATGAATGCCATTTTTAAGGTTCATTTTTCAAAAAATAAATCATATATATGTATATAAATATTTTTGGCATGTAATTTATGTATGCCACAAATTGTATACTCAACCTAGCCACAACAACAAAAACTACACCCAGAAAAGCAGAGAGAGAGCAGAGCATTTCGCTCCCCGTCAACCATTCAGCTCTAACGTCTGTATTTGACTTTTAAAACCAAAAAATAAAATCTACCCGCTGCCCACTTGCCACCCTGCTGTGCGAACCGACGCTGAGACGCCACACTTCAAAGTCAAAACTGCGCACTCAATACAAAACACGAGCGGCAAACAAGTGTCCCAACTGTCTAAGCTGCCCCCCCTGATAAAAGACGACAGAAAACCGGACGAAAATAAAAATCATACAAAAAATAAATTAAAAGTGAAAAAAAAACACAAACTTTAATTAAATAAAGTGTAAGAAGTTTGTTGAGGAGCCCTCAATGCTGGCAGCGTGACCGAACAGATACAGGACGAGGCGGGGTGTTGCAAGTTGAGAGTACTGCTGTGTACATCAAACGAGTAAAATCAGGATTTTGAGGTTGGAGGTTAGAGTAAAGTTCTTAATTTGTGCCGGCTGCGAGATGCTCGCATTCCTGGCGAGAGTAAATCAAGTCGATTTTTATATGAGATATTTACTTTTGTCCTGGCTAAAAAGTCAAAGGGCAAAGTTCATTGTTATTAAACCTCCGCCAACCCCGCATGCTGTGCAAAACTTGCAAAAACAAAATCTAAATGGAATACGAAAAACGAGCAGAAAAAAAAGAAAAAAAGAAAAAAAAAAAAGAAGAAATTCCCATTATATGGGCGAGTGAAAATGACAAATTAACTTGAGCTCAAAGGAAGCCGCAAAGTTTCGCAGCTGCCAAACCCAATTGGCAAACAAAAGTGCGGCTGAGTGTAAAGGTAAATGCGAGACTTTAGTGAAAGGTTGCCAACACGAACGAACACACACACACACAAACACACACACATACACATACACTCACACACACACATACATACTTGCACACAACAAGTTGTCGATTCAATTAAAGATAATGCGGCTTGAAGAAAGCTGTGAATTTCTTGTTAATTTATAATTAAATATACTCTTGAAATTCACAGACTAGTGTGAAATAGAACTGTGGGTGGGTGATTAGTGGTCTCAGTCACACGATCCAGCTGCCAACTACTTCAAAATATATAAGCAAATATTAGCTAAACTAGTTCACATCACAATCATTTCAATTTTTTCAAACTCAACTTAGAAAAAACTTGTGTGAAAATATGTATATCTTCTAAAAATGTTGCTAAAGTAAATAAATATAAAGCTTGATATTCTTTTTCTTTTCTTTTTTTAATACTTGAAACAACTTGCCAAGTTATCCATCAAGTATAACAAAGTGTCTCTTAATGAATGCTAAGCAACATTTTGTTACACTTGACAACTTTGTAAGTTCGCCATTAGGTAGAGCTAAATTAAGCTTTGTATGTTTTTAAGCTTGCAATTATTTGTAAGAGTATTTTTCATACTCTGTTACCGAAGGTGGTATCATAGCATATTCGTTTTGTGCTATACCCGCCTCAGACAAAGTGTGAAAATTGGAGTGCTACGTCCATTAGATGGCCAGGAAATCGATAAAGCCACCTATCTTCCCTATTTGCTTGGAAGATTTTTGGCGATGTCCTTTAAAAATCGGCATATGCCACGCCAACGTCCCCCGCCCCAGGCTCGCGCCTCAATAAATTTTTAATTGCTATATCCCCCGCAGTTGATTAGTTAGAGCCGTTAAATTTGGTAGGTGTGTTACTGGTAGCCGCCTTTAAGAATCGATAAAAATTGTTATATCCACACCCACACTTACGCCCATAATCGCCAAAACCGATATTTCGGAAAGTATAAATCGATAAACCGCATATCTCCCAAGATTTAAAAGATAGAGCCACTAAATGGGGATTTTACTTGCTGATGATTATATCTACCTAATTTTAAAGGCAAACTTGGACGGAGGATAGTTAAAATCTCCTTCAAAGAACGGTACATCCAACATGTTCTTTGCTACCTCTTCTCAGCTGGTATTATTTATGATATCAAAGTATTTCGCAGTCGGTTACGCCCGACAGCAACGTTCTCTCTTGTTTTTTAAATTAAAACTACAAGAAAATCTAAAGCAGGCAAGTTTCTTAAAGTAATGTTTGAACTTAATAAAAGCGAATAATTAATTAAATTAAATAAGAAATATTGTATAACGTTTAACTTAAATTTAAAAATAATATTAACAACTTATAATGATACTAGGGGTATTTAAATGATATATGTTGGTTAATATTTGTTGCATGGATTGTGGAAAATGCGGAAAATATCAAAAGACCAGAAATAAAATAGAATTAAATTAGATTAAATATGTCCTCAAGCTGATTCTGCGAAATTTACACAAAACTTTGCTAAAATGTATATATAGCAAGTAAAATGCAAAATACATTTTAAGTTAAGGACAGCATTTCAACTGCTTTTATTTAATATATAATTTATTCATTACTTTTAAAGTCCTGTCATGCCAACTGTCAAAGTCCATCTTACTTACACATTTTTCGACACATTTCATACCTTTTGTATTTTTCTTTTCTCATTTGTATTGCAGAGCTGGACTTGCCACCCATTCCACTGCCGTGCGATCTCACCGCGTGTCCGGCCGATGCGGACATGCAATGTCCGGAGGACAGCGCCATCCGGGAGATACGTGAGATAAATGCCGTGGATCTGTTAAGTACGAATGCGATGGGCATCGGCAGTGGCAGTGGCAGTGCCACAACCGAGAAGGTGGCCTACAACAGCAGCACAATGACAGACGAACTGTTTGCCCAGTGCTGTCTGTCCAGGAAATGTCTGTGCAAGACATGCTACATTCCCGACTGCACCAGCGACGAGGGCGAAGTTGTGGTCGAGCTGCAGCCGGAGGCGATGGAAACGCCCGGCCAGTGCTGCGGCAAATACGAGTGCAAACGTGAGCCCAACTGCACCGAGGAGTGGAACACCGATTATTATTGGCTGCAGAGCTGCCAGCGCTGTATGTGCACATCGGGTCAGCGTATTTGTCATCAGACCTGCGATGAGGGCACCAATGCTATGTGCGAATCAAAGACGCTGAACACGTTCTTCAAGGACGGCCAGAGCTGGGAGGATGGCTGCTATCAGTGCGAATGTGTCAAAGGCGAGGAGAAGTGCGTGATACCGTTCTGTGGCCACGTCAACTGCCCCAGCGAGCGGCAGGTGCAACTCAAGAACAGCTGTTGCCCCGTCTGCTGGCCCAAGGGTGAGCCCATGCCACACGAGAAGCCACGCAATGATGACGATGGCTATGACTATGAGCAGGAGATCGAAACTGAAGCTGTGCCACTGGCGACGATAGCCGCAGAAGCCACAAGCACCACTACTACCACCAGCACTACCAGTGCCACCACGACCAGCAGCACCACCCCACATCCAGTCGAATTACTTAATTATGAGAGCAGCAGCAGCAGTGTTGTAACTGCGCGCCCAGCACCACCTTGCGAACTGCACGATTTTCCCAAGGTTGTCGAAGTTGTGCATCAGAACAATTTCAGTGCTCATCTGTATCCCGTCATCATCGGTATTCTGATCATTATCATTGGCGTCATGGGCTGCTACATAAGACGCTTGCATGCCAAACAACGTTCCTACCGACCCGTCTCCAACTTTGACGATAAAGTCTAGATAACAGCAAACAATTAAATTATAGGAAACATGGCAAAATGCAAAAGTTTTCAAAGAGAACAAGAGAGTAGAAAGAGAGAGAGCGAGAGCAAGAAAAATCAAAACTTTAACTAGTAACTTTTGAATTTTTTTATTTTTATGATTTTTACATCTTTTTTTTTTTTGGTATTTTGTTTTGGTATCTAAAAGATCTCATTTTAATTTCACCTTCACTTCCAAGCAGACATCCGCAGACGCAAAAGCAAAAGTATTCTTATGAAATTACGAGCAAAGAAAAGTTTGTATAACTAGCAAAAAAAAAAAAAACGAAAAACACAAAAAATACAATAAAACATTAAAAAAAAAAATTTAAAGAAGAAGAAGGCGAGCAACATGTTGTATATACATCAAATGCATGGATAGTATTAAGTACACCAATGTTTATTATTATTATGCACGAACTAAAATGCCAAAATATATTTCAAGAAGTTAAATATATAAATATATATATATATATACACATATGTATATATATATATAGATATAAATTTGTATGTATGTAATATATGACGAACGCAACTGAGAGCGAAATAAAATTGTTGGATTATCCTCAAAGTAAGGTGATGCCAATAAGCACAAAGAAAAGAAGCAAACGCTGAAGAAAAAAATCCCCGAAAAACGTTCGTCATTGTTTTTGTTTGTAAGTTAGCAGCTAAGCTAGAATATCTATGTGATATTTGTTAATAAGTGTATGTTATAAACAAATGCTATACAAAACAAAAACAAGAAACAAAAGCGAAAGCGAAAGCAAATGCAAAAGCAAATGGAAAAACAAACAACTGGCGCGCTATCAAAAGTATTGCAAATGGATCAATTTATATGTTAATCAGCTGCTGATCGTTGCCGTTAATCTAGTATATATATATATATATATATACATATATATATGTATACCATACCATTTAATTATTATCCTAAAGTCGAAATAAACAAAACCGATAAGCAACGCGAATAATGCCAATTTAATGAGTTTTACTTATTCACATTCACTTTATATTATTATACGCAGCACTTTCCGGGGTTCATTGAAACGTGAAAATTACTCGCAATTGACTTGTGCCTTCTGCTTCATGCGTTCTCCGTTCTGCCTGAGCATGAAGAGTAAACACCCAGAAATTACATTAATCAATCAATACAAACAATAATTAGCATTCAGTGCAAATAAGCTTGCAAAATATTATATCTGTGTGTGTGTGTGTGTTTGTGTGTGTGCTCTTTACAATACACATGATATATATGTATGATGAATGTGGGCGAATTATATAAAAATTGCTTTATCCCTTATGCATTTATGTCAAAAATTGTTTAATGCCATCATAAAAATGCCATTATTTATTTTTAATTAATATTTATTCATTATTTCTTGGGATATTTTGTTGAAATTGATAGCATAATATTTACAGTCTAGTATGGCACTTAATGATTATACTAGATTTAGCCGATATAATGCCAAGGACTTTGCTAAACATTAAACAAAAGCCTTGCTATGATGTTCTGAATACAAAATAAATAATGACAAAATTCTGTCTTTGATCGGATAACAGTTTCGTACACCAGCCAAAAAACAAGTGAGAACGTTGTCACCGACTCCAAAATACTCTGTACTCTATACTCTGTAGCTGATAACAATCTTTCGAGGAGGTTCGTGTGGATTTGCGTTTATCGATTCAATAGATTTCCAAGCACGCCAATTTTAATCCTCTATCTGTCGCGGGCACAGACAAGACCAGTCTTATCCTTCGGTAACAGAGTATAAAAACCGATTCCAAAAATATATGTTTTTTCCTATTTATTGGAGTAGTAGGTGGCATCTCGCTCCCAGTCTGAATATGCTAAGACGAGTGAAGTGGGTTCAAGGTCGAGCTGAAAATCTTGCAAAAGATTCTTGAGGCGCAACGGGAAATTGTTTAGCTGGGGCATAATGTGATGCCATCATATGATTTATAATATGTAATAATTTCTATGCATTGGCATTGGGACCCTCAAAATGTTGAAGTGGCCAAGTTGGTGGAATTGGGACGGTGCCGGGGGCGATGGCGTTGGCTTCACCAAATGCGAAATATCAAATACAAAATATATAAAGGTGTCAGGGGAATTGAGGGCTGCCACCTCCACACACACACACACACACGCTGCACACACACACTCTCATACACTAAGCACATCAGGGGCTCTTCAAGATGGAGACCCCAACAATGCCGTACATTTTGCTAAGATTGTTATCAAACACTAAAATGTCATGAATAAAACACATATATGTTAGTATATGTATATTTCTATATATATGCTATGCATGTGTGTGTGTGTGCGTGTGTGTGTGTGTGCGGGTGTGCTGGTGTGCTGGTGTGTATTTGAGTGGCTCCCTCCCTCCCTCCCTCCGTCCCACCGTTGAATGGCATAGTGATTTACAAATGTCGAGACTAGGTGCCGTGTCGCAAAACTCGACAAGCAAAAGCACACCTAATAAAAATGGTGCTTTGCTGCTGCTTTCGGCGTGGGCTGTAGTGGTAGGCAGTAGTGATACGGATTGGCGGTGGAATGGTTGGGTGGTAGGGTCTGTAGTAGGTGTTCAGATAGGCGTAAGGACCAATCGCTTCAATTTTGCTGAAAGCAAGGCAAATATTCGCATTGTTACAAAGGTTACACGTGTTACATCTAACGATTGCAGAGCCTCAAAGCGCTAACGTTTTGTATGGGATAAGCAATGGCAAACAGCTCTGGGGAAATAGCTGGGGGCAACGAGAATGGGAGGGGTTGGGGATTGGTTAGGTGAATAAAGGCAACCAGGACTGCCAGTCTGCCAGTCTGCCAGTCACCCAGTCACCCAAGCAGTGAGCCCAGCCAGCATACCAAACAAGTAACAAAAGCATAACACTAACAAAGGCATAACACAATAGACTTCAAGAGCTTGGATGACACTTTGAGTTATTTTGTTGATGTTGTAAAAACACGAGCCAGCCAGAAAGATATGCGATGGTAGATTTATTGAGGCACTGCAGATAGAAAGTCACACAACTGTAAGATACAAAAAAGCAAAAGGGACAAGCACAAAAACAACACAGCAACAACAGCAACAACAAAAAAAGGTGGAAAAGCAGGCAGCCTAAAGCACCGTTTGATAAGGGCAAACAGCACCCTACCAAGACATTGTCCAGTGCTGAGCTTTGCTATAGGGATATATGTATAAATATATACAATGTGCAAGTTAGGAAGCTCAAAATGAGATTGACTCAACGAGTAGATACCCAATGAATCATCGTCGTCATCAAATAGATTCAAATCGATGTGCAAAATTTCGATAAGCTGTCTTTGAAGAAACTCTGAAGTTTAAATATATAATATTAGCACAACATAACTACACTCTTATTAAACAACAGGGTATAAGCAGGGATACTATTCAGAAACGAAAGGATTCTTAATGAATGCTAAAAGGCCAATGAAAAACTGCTAAGTAAACGACTCAGAAATACCGAAACTAAAATCTTAAAAGGCTATAAAATACTTTGGCTACTTAAGTCTAGCTTGTGGACGAAATATTAATTTGTTGCTTTAAGAACTTTCCAGCTCAGTTAAATTTTCATACATTTTAAACTTGAAATTCTTGATTGTATTATCTTTTTTATTAATATTACATGGTAACACGAAGCAGATGAGACTCAGCCAGAAATATAATTTAAAGCAAATGAGTCATAAATAAGAACTTATTCAACAATTTTTTATTATAGAATGCAAAATCTGCAACTAAATCTCAAATTAAAACACTAATTAAGATCTACAATTTAAATGAGAATGTGTTTTTTTAGATAAAAATAAAGACAAGAAAAAAGATTATATAAAAGATATATTTAATTTATGAATGCATTCTTGCCCAACAATTTCCTTAACTCTTTTCACTCTTAATAAATTTTGGATGTGGGAAAACGAAACAAATGAAAATTATCTAGAGATGTGATTCACGTGTATTATATACGTATGTATATAAATAGGAAGTAAAGAAACTCCAAAATGTGCCCATATATACCCCACTTAAAAATTAAAAAGGGAAAGAGTATGCCAGTCATTGATGCTATGAAATGTATATCTAAAGGACTATCAGAAACATCAGAATCTACAATAACAGCAAACTGTTGAAAGCGATTCAATGAAAGAAGAAATGGGAAATTGAAATAAAAAATAAAACAGAAAACAGAAAACAGAAAAGGTAGCAGAAACTTTAAGGAGCAGGAAGTGAAAAAACAGCTGCAGAAGCCATTCAAATTCTCGAATCAATGAAATCCATGTCTCAAGATGTGCGCTTAAGCAAACATACATTGCAAAACTGAAAATGAAAAACGCAATCGAATTCTTAAAGCAATGTGGCAATTGTTGAATAGCATTAAATGGTGGCATTTATATTCGATACAAAACGGTGAGAATACTATGCGGGGCAGCGATTAAGTCCGTTGTCAAAACAAAAATTGAATGGCAAGGCAATAAATCATCAAAGACAGCAATATATATTTATTGATAGCCACAAATGACTACTGGCTATATGTGGTATCCATTCACATATGTCGAAATAGAAAATATTTATATATATGTATGTGTATAAATATTTATATCTATACATATAAATGAATGCAAATGAAAAGCCTCGTCCATATATCAAAGCCACATTAGCCTAAATTTGAATTGGCACACACTTATAGACACACATACACTCACACTCTCTGGTGTTTTTGCATATGTATATGTAAAGCAAACCTCAAGCACATGTCAGAATTAAATAATGTAACGCACGATTGCTGTAGCTCCCCCTCGACCCCCACTCCCACTCCCCCCGTAGACCACATATACACAGTTTTTACATACTAGTAGCAATCTTGTACAGCTGCCATCTCGCTCCCCGCCATTATGGCCATCCTGCCATCCGGCCATGCTGCTATCCTGCCATCCTCCCACTCTGCCCATCAGGCCAACCTACATGGCCCGGCATTGGCATTGGCTTTTATTTGAATTTGGTGCGTGCGGCTGTCACTTGTCTGCTACATTCGCCATGTAAACACAACCGCAGGCAATTTTGGCAATTTGCGTCAACAGGCACAAGACACAACATGGAAACCAAAACCCTCCAATAAAAAACATGTAACAATGCTCTAGACAATGGTACTCAACATGAAGATATCCTTTAGTAGACAAATTAAAGCATTCTTTTTATAGATCTACAAGAGATAATCAAATGGAAACAATTAAAGAAGTTTTTCTGTACCAACAAAGAAAAACAATTGCGATCCGTTTTCATTTTCAAATCCAGCATTTTGAGCAGCATCTTGAACGGAATAGTTTTCCTGTATTGCCTCAAAATTATATCGACGTGGTCAGTAATACTTTTTCATAATCGCATAATTATATTCTTTCTTTTATGCTTACTTTTGTTTCGTTTTAA